GACAATCTTATTTGAAAATTCGATTGAGTATTAATCATATCTTTACACAATTCTTGGTTGCATCATCCGGATGTCTTGTATCTTTAAAGTCTTACACGACCCTTAACGTTCTCAACGGAGACCATATGAGGCTGCACACAGGCTCACCTTCTCGAACGGAACTGACTTGGTCAGCATATTGGCTGGATTGTACCTCATATCAATCTTCATAAGTTTGAACTCGTTCCTATTTTGCCATCTCCATATAGCATGATGCTTCACGTCAACATGCTTGGTCTGAGCATGGAATGCGTCGTTATCTGACAAGTGAATGACACTTTGACTATCACTGTGGATGAAGCATTTCTCAAAGCTTACCCCAAGCTCGAGAAGAAAATCTTTCAACTATAGTAACTCCTTTGCTGCCCCTGCTGCAGTCACGTACTCCGTTTCGATTATCGACAAAGCCACAGTGTCCTGTAATTTGGATCTCTAACTTATCGCTTCACCACCCAAAATGAAGATGTAGCTGCTCGTGCTCTTTCTTAAGTCTATGTCCCCAGCGTAGTCTGCATCACAAAAGCCCTCTAACTGCAAATTCGCCCCGCCATACTCAAGACAGTGGTCGGACGAGCATCTCAAGTAGCGTAGAAGCCACTTGATCGCATCCCAGTGTGCTTCCCCGGATTGCTCATGAAGCGGCTCACAACTCCCATTCATTATGCAATATCTGACCTAGTGCACACCATCATATACATCAAACTCCCGACAGCAGATGCGTATGGTATGTTGGCCATGAACTCATGCTCTTCAGCAGTCTTTGGTGCTTGGGTCTTTGATATCTTAAAATGGCTCGCAAACGACTAGCCCATCGGTTAGCTTTCTCTATGCCAAACCTTTCAAGAATCTTCTCAATGTAGGCCTTTTGAGACAACCTCTGCCTCCGTGTTGATCTGTCTCTGATGATCCTCATCCTAAGAATCTAGTTTGCTGGATCCAGATCCTTCATCTCGAAGCACTTGGAGAGACGCCCATTGAGTTCCTCAATACGAGCCAAGTTGGGCCCAACAATCAACATGTCATTAACATAAATCAAGAGTATCATATAGGATTCGTCATACCTCTTGATGAAGCAGCAGTGGTCTGTGTCGTATTTGAGAAAACCGTTCTCCCCCATAAAGTTCTTAAACTTTATGTACTACTGTCGCGGAGCTTGCTTCAGGCCATACAAGCTCTTACGCAGGCGACACACGAGGCCCTCCCTGTCTCGTTCCTCGAAGCGCACTAGTTGATGCATATAGATCTCTTCCTCAAAATCTCCCATATAGATCTCTTCCTCCAAATCTCCATGAAGGAATGTCGTCTTCACATCCATCTGTTCTAGATGGAGATCTCGAACTGCCACAATGCTCAGCACAGTTCGGATCGTGATCAACTTGACGACGGGAGAAAAAACGTCAGAATAGTCTATCTCTGCTTTCTGCTCATAGCCCTTCACTACAAGCCTTGCCTTGTAGCGTCTCCATCTATCGACTTCATTATTGACTCGATAAATCCATCAATTGTGAAGAACCTTTCGCCTTCTTGGAAGCTTTACGAGCTCACAACTCTCATTCTTCATCAAGAATTTTATTTCTTCCTCCATGACAGACTCCCACTCGCCCTGAGCTTTGTCGATCTGCTGTACCTCATCATAGCTCTCTGGCTTACCGCTGTCAGTCAGGAGAAGATAATTCATGGTAAAAATGTACCTCTCTAGCACCTTTGGTTTTCTTGGAGCTTTACGAATTACGATCGGCAACTCTGCTGGATCCTGCTACTGTGCATACGTCACATTCTCTTGGTCTCCGTCTTCTTTGCTGACTGGTATCTCACCGTCATCCTCACTATCAGCAATATCTGAGAAAAAAAGGAGGAGATAGTTGACTCACACTCACCTCTTTGGTCTTGTACACAACATTCTCATGAAACACGATGTCACGACTGCGCACCACCTTGTGTGCATCGTAATCCCAAAAACGGTACTCATACTCATCTCCTCCATAGCCGATAAAAAAGAGCTTTTTTTATTTTGGATCAAGCTTTGACTGATTTGCAGGATTGATCATGACATAGGCGTCATAACTAAATACTCGTAAGTGCTCTAGCTTCAGCTTTTTCCCGATCCAAGCCTCTTCAGGTATTCCATAACTAAGAGCCGCGGATGGCCCGCGGTTGATCAAGTATGCAGCAGTATTGACAGCTTCGGCCCAAAAACTCTTGGGCAATCCGGAATGAATCCTCATACTTCTGGCGCGCTTCAAGATAGTACGATTTATACGTTCTGTCACTCCGTTGTGTTGAGTTGTGCCTGGGACGGTCTTCAGTCTTCTAATCCCATGGGACGAGCAGAAGTTCTCAAACTCCTGACTGTAATACTCGTCTCCATTATCAGACTTTAGGTACTTCAGCTTATTGCCCGTTTCGTTCTTCACACAGGCAAACCACTTCTTGAAGATGATAAAAATATATGACTTGTGCTTCAAGAAGAACACCTACAATTTTCTAGTAGCATCATCAATAAAAGTGACAAAGTAAAGAGAGTTGCCAACATATGAGACTTGCGTAGGTCCCCACACGTCGGTGTGTATCAACTCTAAATTCTGCAGTTTTGGAGCCGGTCCGATCTTGTTGAATCTCATCTTCTTCTGTTTTCCTAGGATACAGTCCTCACAGAAAGTCAGATCGATCTTGTTCAGACTCGGAAGCCTCTCTCCTGAGGTCATAATCTGCATCCCCTTCTCGCTCATGTGGCCAAGTCATCGATGCCAAATCATGCAGTCGACGGATGATGATGATGATGCTTGTCCTGTAGCATGCAACCGGTCGATCTTCCTATTGGCGATGTAGAGAGACCCCTCGTGTTTGTCGTATACCACCACCAGGGCACCCTTGGACACCTTCCAGCTTCTCTGTTCGAAGGATACTTTGTAATCGGAGTCAGTCAGTTGCCCGACTGATATAAAATTTCGTCTGAGATCCGGTACATGCCGAACATCGTTCAACGTCAATGTGGTCCCGCCCTCCATCTTGAGGGTACAATTTTCCTTTCCGAAAACCTTGCAAGGTTGATCGTCGTCAAGATAGACTGTCCCTAAGTCCTTCTTCACAAACGATAAAAGCAGCTTTTGTTATGAGGTTGCATGGAAAGATGCGTCAGAATCGATGATCCACGCATCGCTTTTGTCTTCTAGGGATAGGAGAAGTGCGTCCGAATCTGTTTCGTGCATGAGATTACATGCACCGTCAGTCTGATCATCCCCTGCTGATGGTGGAATAGAAACTCTACAGTCTCGTGCAAAGTGATCATTCTTTCCACATCTGAAGCATTTCCTTTCATCGTAACCATTCGGGTCCGGTCCTTTAGACTTTCCTCTGGACTTTGATCGGTCTCGTCATCCCCTACCATTCTTCTGCGCACGCCCTCGTGCCTCGACATGCAGAGCACTCTCACTGCTAGAGGCCTCAGCTCCTGAGATTTTGCGGCGAGATTCTTCATCCAGAATTGTCCCAATCACTGTGTCGAGCTTCATCTTGTCATTGCCATTGGCATTGCTCACCGTCATCACCAAATTCTTTCACGAATCTGGTAGACAAGAAAGTAGCAAAAGAGCTTGGATCTCATTGTCAAACTTGAGATCCACTGCAGCAAGCTATTGCACCACAGCCTGAAATTCGTTCAAGAAGTCCGCCACGCGAGCTCCTTGCTGCATCTTTAGATTGAATAGCTTCTTCATCAGGTACACCTTATTTGAAGAAGATGGCTCCTCATACAGCGCCTCTAAGGCCTCCATCAACTCCTTGGTAGTGGTCGCATACGAGACGTTGTAAGTCACATGCTGGTGAAGGTTGAGCCTGATGGTGGTAAGTGTTTTACGATCGAGCACCTTTCACTTATCGTCGTCCATCTTCTCAGGCTTCCCCTTCACTCCTTGGAGGGGTAGGAAGAGATCCTTCTGGTATAAATAGTCTTCTATCTGTATCCTCCAATACCTAAAATTTTATCCGCCGAGTTTCTCAATCCAAAGCCTATTGTCTTCAACTGTAGATCCCATGACAAAAGATTTTTATCTTTTCTCGAACCGTATTTGTGAATAGTAACAGTATTTCTGAATAGTACAGTACTCATGAATAGTGCCCAGTGCCTTTAAAGAGTAAATGATAGTTTAACTTATTTTCTGATGTGGAGGATCCACTTTTAGTGGCAGTCACATAGCATATGATAAGCAGATATATATATTCTAAGTCAGGCTCTGATACCAGTTGTTGGGATATACTCCAACAAGAACGCCTCAAATAGAGATGCAAAAACATACCCAAGCAGACACAAATTCAATCACAATACTCACAGATATAACGTGGTTCACTCTTACGGAGCTACTCTATGGTGCAATGACGACACCCAATTTCTTTATACTCCAAAAGAAAAGGATCAAAGAGAACACCCTCTATGTTTCTCACAAGGTACTCTCTATTTGATCAAGATACTCTCCAAGGTTTCTCACAAACTCTCTCTATGTTTTCTCTCTTACTCTTCTATAAGAAGAGTTATTTCTGAGATGATTTTTCCTAAAGAGTTTTGGCCTTATTTATAGTATTTGGGAAAAACTATGCACTAATAAAATATTATTGGTGGGACCCGTCACTAATAATATTTTATTGGTGGGACCCACCATATTTTTATTTTTCTCAAAATTTGCGGCCACCGATTTTTATTTGTCAAAGATGGTGGCTGCCTGACATTCCTTTGTCAAAGATGGTGGTTGCCTGACATATACTCAGCCCCGAACCTGAGTCCAATCCTAGCCGCCTTGCATGCTCTCAAATTTGACTGTTACAATACTAGTATGCATGGCAGAGTTGGTGGTAAGGTTCATTGCTCAGACAATATCGGTTCAGTTCACACATGTAAAATGGAAAACAATATTGTTGAAACATTGTAATGACATTTCTTCGTGCTATTGGTTCAAAAATTTCCACATAATTACAGATCTTTACAATCCACATACTGTCTCTTTCAAAAGAAGAGAAGGGAATTACAAAAGGGGGAAAAAGAGAGAAAATTCATGATTACGTGCACAACGCTTCCTGGCAGTGACAAAGAAGAGCAAACTCGGCCTCCACCGAGCAACAACATAACCCTTGTTTCTCCTTCTCCACCATTTCCACTATACTCTCAAACACAGATACATCACAAGGAATCCTTAGGATGCCTTCTTGTTCAAACCCAAACTCCTCTTCTGCTTCTCGCAAAAGAGTTCTGAAGGCTCTGTGGCTTAAATATTCCATCGGGATTATGAACTTTTTCATCTCCTCTCCAACACATAATGCAAGAAACCCCTTTGGTACACTGCTATAGATTATTGAAGGAGTGTTGGTAAACGAGAGAGTTCTCTTCAAGAATTTGATGCTCTTGCTGTTGCTTTTGGGCGCAACTGCGATCTTCTTCCACTTCTTTAGGAATTGGCGGAGCTTAACTATATCTATGATCTTTCTGTTGGCTCTCTTGGAAGCCATGAAGTCTTGTGGTGGCTTGGAAATGCTCTTAAGCCTTCAAATGAAAAAACCCAAGTTTTCTTCCAGGATTTGGTGGTGGCCTGTGATGCATAAGTTGGCTATGGGAATTTATAGAAGTTAGGTCCTCTAGTTCTATTAAATTAAATTCTAACTGCTTCATATTTTCAGTTTATTTAACCTTATTTTATCTGATAAGTCAAGAAAGTGACAATTTGTTCTTTAAGAAACTTCAGATGACTGGAAACTGACATTTTTTTAGTGCTATTGGCTGTCATGGTTTCAGAATCTTTATTGTGATATGGTACATAAAGTTAGTGACTACATGAAACTTTTCATCGGCCTTCCATTTGCCGTACTGAAAACATGATCCTTTTGATCCACAAAATACTTATCTGCATTGATTTATACCTAATGGAGGTTTCTATGATTTGGCATGTAGACCCTTTTTTTTGGTTACATCGTTAGTTACTTTGGATACTCAGATTATTCACCTTACCTGCCTAAGTAGTTGGCAATCAAACTTACGTTTGTCCCCTAGCTGGATTCTTCAAATTCTATTTCAACTTTCTTCAAATAAAATGTTTAGCAGATAGATGGCTCTGTTAGCAATTGACTGAAAGAAGACTACAATTTATTGATTCATGCTAAGCAAATATTTGCCACCTTCTAAAGTTAGTTTATGCATTAGTGCATTGAACCTAATTAAGTTAAATTATTGCCATGTTTCTCCCAGAATTATGATTGAGGAAAGTAGCAGTTAGAAATTTCTGTGCAGATTTAGATTGCTCCAGACCAGATTATCTTAATTATATATATATAATTGCAAATTATTATCCAATAAAAGCACCGATTATCCCATCATTCTCACCCGTAATTTTTGTTTTGACACCCAAGCGTTTAGGAAAGAGCTCAACTTTCCTATGCCTAATATACTACTAGCAGCTAGCTGTTTATTTTATCATTATGGTAGTTATTATCTAACATTCAGCAAGATCTGTTGCAGAGAGAAAATGATAAAAGAGATGCAAATGAATTACTGAGGGAGAGAAGCATAATATATATTCTACATAAAGTCCACTTCTACGTTTGGGCTTAAGCTGGAGTCTATTGGTTCTGTGCGATAATGTAAGTTCACAAGTACATACATACATACAATAGATTGGTCATTGGTGCTCTTGCTCTAGTTTTAAATTGGGGCTGTGAATCACACAATTTGGTTGTACATGTCACTTTTGTTTAACAAAATCAAGATGGATTGATGTTATCAGCAGCACATGGTATTGTTAGTTTAACAAGAAAGAACAGTTAATTAACACCAAGTTGAGTAGATTATTATTACTAGGGTTTATAAATATAATGCTAGGCTTCTTGAAATCTGTACAGAACAATACACTCACGCTACCCTTGAACTTGAAGGAATATTTTGTCCTTGTATTGTTTTGAACTTATGCAACTTTATTAATCAAGACAGGGTTTCCTCATTGGAATTAAATGTTTATATCATGCAAAGAGTTTCTGCACATTTTCTTAATAATTTTTTTTCCTTTTATAATGTACTAAGATGTATACCTTTCATGTCAGTTATTGCAGTTGCACATGCTTTGGTTTACAACTTGATGAGTTAATCAAAGTTCTAACTTGTATCTATCATACATTTATCTGTCACAATTTCCCCCCTTTTATAATGTCTATATCATGCAAAGAGTTTCTGCACATTTTCTTAATAATTTTTCTTCCTTTTATAGTGTACTAAAATGTATCTCTTTCATGTCAGTGACTGCAGTTGCACATGCTTTGGCTTACAACTTGATGAGTTAATCAAAGTTCAATTGCATCTATCATACATTTATCTGTCAGAAGAAATGTTTTTATGAAGAAGATCTATCAAGGAATCAACACATTGAGAATGGCAAGGTATTGGAATCCTTTCTTTAACCATAAACTCTTCTTGGAAACTGGTTAACAAGTTTGATAACATTGTTCACCTTACCTATTGCCGACATCTTGTTTTTATTTCTCATTTTTCAGAAAAAAGTTGGTTCACCATCCACTAGTCTTTGTAGATTTAATAAATCTTGAGCATTCTGTTCTACATCCGTTGATTCCTTGGTCATGATAACCAATTAATCATCTTGACTATTGTTGGATCATGAGCATCAAATGCATATATGTGTAAAGAATGATTTTTTTTTTCAACCATTGAGCTGTTGGTGTGAATGCATTTAAACAAAACCAGCTGCTTGACCTGTTATCCCTAACATTAATTAGCTGATTCCTTAATAGACTTTGATCAATGCGGGGGTCTTCAATCTCACATCTAGCCGTTAGGTGTTATAACTTATACTTGGTCTGATACCCCCCAGTGCTTTGATTTTCTTTCATACTCACGGATTTGAACACTTGATAATGGCCAAATTGTTAACAACATAATTAAGGATAAATCCTTGTTGTTAAATGAGTAGAATCATGTATGAATATAGCCACTATTAAAGATGCCTTCCACCGGGTCAAAACTTAAGTTCTGGTGAGGGATTATAATTTTATACTCAAATATGTCCCCGCAAGTTGAGTACCCTTTGGATGAGACAGGAGTTGGACACATGCAGATATTTCTTTTCCCCCCTAAAAACCGCTTTAAATGCATGAACAAACCTGGATTGTTTTGATATCATGTTAAAAATCCCTTCAATACAACAAGACCTGAAGTCACATTGAAGACTAATAGAAAGGATAAATAAATAAATAAAAGTTGGAACTGATAACTAGTTACTTATAGGATTTCGGATTAATTTGGTTTCAAAATTTCAAGTTACCCATGGATGCTGAATGGTGTCTAAGTTGTCTTCCAATTGCATATTCAAGAATCCATGACTCTCTATGGATTGTTGTTGTATAGTTACAAATGAGGGGAAAGACTGTTAGGGTTCATATTTGAATGTACTTTCACTTTAGGAAAATAGAAAGAGTAATGAATTTGAATCAAGAAGATCAATATCTAACAATTTCAACGTTTTGATTATGTAATTCCTGTGGGAAATTTTCAATAAAATTAAATAAAATTAAAATTAAAAAAACTCATGAATAACCCCCAAATCTTTGAAAATTTCACTTAACCCCCAAACTTTTGCATTTTTCTGAATATATTTTCAGATAACCCTCAATTTTTTGGGGGGTTATCTAAAAAGGTTTTGCCGGTTAAGTGAAATTTACCAACTTTTTGAGGGTTGTCTCAAAATGGAACAATGTTCTTCGGGTTAATGTGAAATTTACCCAATTTCTAACCTATGTTTAGGATCCAGCTAACTCCCAAAAGAGGGCTAGATAATCCCAAAACTGATGACTAGTTTGTTGCTCTCAGTTAGGGAGTAGGACCTCAATCTGTAGCTTTTAGCAAAGTACAAAAGTCTGGTGGTTGAGCATTTCAAAATCTGTACTGTCAAACTTCCCCTGATTAATCATTTGAAGCATCATATCTTCAATCATTAATCTCCAATCATGAGTTGCACCAACCCACCACCCACTCTCTCCAATCAAAAACCCAGTTTGAATAATGGAGAAGCCAAGCTTAGGATGGTAAATGCACATGCTCAAAACTTTCTCATTTTATTCCTTCATTCATCACACTGACAAGTGTTCTGACTCCATTTTGGTTCATTGAACCCATCTCCTTCTCTTCATTTTGTTTGTCAGAGTTGATATGAACTTATGAGTTGGAGGAGCTCATGCACACGTTTGAGAATCTGTCAGGTACAGATTTTGTGCAAGCGGTGACAGGTTTGGACTCTGAGATGCATGCACCAGTTGTTTAATGTCGGGGTTAATTGCATATGAACCCCTTGTAGTGTTGGAAATGGGTGTAGACCCTTACCTTATCAGCGACGAACGAGATGAGCTCCGGCGACGTCGAACAGCTCAGGCGAGCTCCAGATCATGGGGACTTCAGGCGAAGTCAAATCATGGGGACTTCAGGCGAAGTCAAATCGGCGGCGAATCGACAGCTTCAGGCGAAGCTGAGTTGGAGAAGGCGCGGATGAATTCGAACAGGCGGATTTTGAGGCTTACAGGCGAGTTTGGATTTTGGGAACTCAGGCGAATGTTTGAGACCCCTTGCTGGCGAGATTCAACGTTTGGCGATTTCGAACGGAGTAAAGTCGGGCGAAATCGTTGCAGGCGAGCTTTGGGGATGAGCAGGCGAGATCGTTGTTCGCCTTCCCCATTCGTTCTTTCGCCAGCGCTGTTGGGAAACAGCTAGCATTAGCTGGCTAGGGTTTCCCTATAAAAGGAAAACCATGAGCAGCGAATGAGTGGTTCAAGCCCCAATTTTTCTTCTCAGAGCAGTTACTCTTGCGGCGGCTATTAAAGGAGAGAATTTTCAGAGGAAAATTCTACTGAGTTCCTGTAGCGATTTATTGAGAAAAAAAAAAGAGAAGATTTTACTGTTGTAAAATCTCGCGCCTTTTATTTGAACAACAGAGAGTTTTTTTTCTGTTTGGTTCTTTTGAGAGATCTCAAGTTTTGAGATCTGCTCTTTACAAGCTTTGTAATCTTCTTTAATATATCATTTGTGTGGCTCCTGAGGACGTAGGCAAGTTGCCGAACCTCGTTAAAACTCGGTGTTCTCTGTTCTTGCGATAATTTTTAGATTTGTAGTAATTCCCTTTTTTCCATTGCTTAAACACAAGATCCGGTAGGGCAATTCCGCAGAACACGTGTCAGAGCGTATTTGAGTTTATCCCCAACAACTGGTATCAGAGCCCTTGTTCAGATTTGTGTGTGTAAGAATGGCAGAAGAAGACAAATCTAAAATTGAGAAGTTTGACGGATCAGACTTCGCCTACTGGAAGTCACAGATGGAGGACTATCTGTACCAGAAGGACCTTTACCGTCCGTTGATGGGTAAAGCAAAGGGCAAGAAGAAAGAAGAATCCGACGAGGATTGGGAAATATTGGATCGAAAAGCCTTGGGGCAGATCCGATTGGCCCTCTCAAAATCTGTAGCACACAATATATTAAAGGAGAAGACGACGGTGGGGCTTATGGAAGCGCTCGCAACGATGTACGAGCAACCGTCGGCTGCAAATAAGGTGCATCTCGTCAAGACGCTATTCAACCTCAAGATGGCAGAAGGATGCTCCTTCACGATGCATCTCAGCGAGTTCAACACGATTGTTGATCAACTCATCTCAGTCGACATCAAGTTTGATGACGAAGTGCAGGCCCTGTTGATACTATCGCAGTTGCCGGATAGTTGGGCAGGTTGCGTGACCGCAATCAGCAACTCGGCGGGAAAAGGGAAGTTGAAGCTGAAGGAGGTGATAGCTATGATTCTATCCGAGGAGGTTAGAAAAAAATCGAATGAATCAGAAGGTTCGGGTTCAGCTCTAAGTCTCGAGCAGAGAGGCAGAAGCCATAATAGGGGGAACCAAAACAGGAATCGATCGAAGTCGAAGAAGAAGAGGTCGAACTCGAAGGTGAGACCTATCAAGGGGAAATGTTGGAACTGCGGCCAGGAGGGCCACATGTCTTCTACCTGTAAAGCACCGAAGAAAAATGAGCAGGAGGCTCATATTGTGCAAGATGCGCTGATTCTCGCTATGGATAGTGATTCCGATTCATGGGTTATTGATTCAGGAGCCTCTTTCCACGCCACTGCTAATAGAAGGTTATTTCAGAACTATGTAGCAGGGGACTTTGGGAAAGTATATTTGGGGGATAATGAACCCTGTAGTGTCATTGGAAGAGGCGATGTGCAAATACAGTTAAAGGGATCCAAGTGGTCTCTGAAGAATGTCAGGCACGTACCGAAGTTGAAGAGGAATCTTATTTCGGTTGGCCAGCTCGGAGCAGAAGGCTATGTTACAACATTCACCGGAGATTTGTGGAAAATCTCTAACGGTACAATGGTGGTTGCCCGTGGCAACAAGACCGGTACCCTCTACCTAACTTCACACGCGAGTGACACCCTCGCGATTGCTGCAGGCAATGAGAGTGCAGATCTGTGGCACAACAGGCTGGGACACATGAGTGAGAAGGGTATGAAGATTCTACACTCAGAAGGGAAGCTAACCGGCATCGATTCGGCAGAAGTCGGTGTTTGCGAAGACTGCATCTTCGGGAAGCAGAAGAGAGTTAGTTTTCTAAAGGGTGGAAGACCACCTAAAGCTCACAAGCTAGAGCTTGTTCATACAGATGTATGGGGTCCAGCTAGCGTGTCTTCTCTTGGCGGTTCGACGTACTACGTCACCTTTATCGACGATCACTCGAGAAAGGTGTGGGTATACTTCATGAAGCACAAGTCGGAGGTGTTCAGCATCTTCAAGAAGTGGAAAGCCATGGTGGAGAACGAGACAGATCTGAAAGTGAAGTGTCTGAGATCAGACAATGGTGGAGAATATAATTTGGAGGAGTTCAAGAAGTTCTGTGCTCTGAACGGGATTCGTTTGGAGAGGACTACTCCAGGGACGCCCCAACAAAACAGCGTAGCAGAAAGAATGAACAGAACGCTGACAGAGCGTGCGAGGAGCATGCGTCTACATGCAGGTCTACCAAAAACTTTTTGGGCGGACGCGGTGCATACAGCAGCGTACTTGATAAATCACGGGCCATCAGTTCCATTGAACTTTGGGATTCCGGAAGAGGTTTGGAGTGGCAAGAAGGTTAATCTCTCACACTTGAGAGTCTTTGGGTGCGTGGCATACGTCCACATCAGTGACCATGTCAGGGACAAGCTGGAAGCTAAGTCATTGAAGTGTACATTCATTGGGTACGGCATTGATGAGTTCGGGTATCGTCTGTGGGATGAGAAGAACAGGAAGATCATCAGAAGCCGAGACGTCATATTCAATGAGGAAGTGATGTACAAGGATAGGGATAATGCTAAGGCGGGCCAAAGAAGTGGGAGCAGCACTACGGATGCAGACGCATCCGAGTACATGGATTTGGAGGAACTTCCAGATGGGGGAGACAACGTCGATTCTGACCAAAGAACGGAGG